TAACTACTTACATATTTAGTTTAATGCCAGTTAGCCAATAATAGACTTCTATCAGCTTGTGGTCAGTGTTCTTGAAATTTTTTTTAATTCAGCTTTTTGGGACCTACAGTACCTTTTGTAATAGAAACAATAGTACAAATAAAGGTTGGATTCCTGTGCTAGCCTTGAAACCCTCAAAAATAAAAAGTAAAATATTGCTGTTACAATTGGTCCTTCAATAGCATATAGGAGTTCATTTAGTCCATATAAGATACATTTTTCTTTATACATACAGGATCAGAGGTCACCCAGTTTGATATTCTTTCCCTCTATGGCCAGACGTGAGACACCTAGAGCTGGCAAAGGTTGGATATCCAAGCAACACTTCTTGGTGTGGGGACGAATGGTGATTGGTGATCTTCCTCATGAAAGAATTAGTTACATGTAGTAGTGTGCTAGTACAGGGAGTGAGTACACACAGGCACCCAACATTGTATTCCGCGTGGGCCCTTAGATGCCAGGACTCAGAACGGTATCATAGGAAGCTGTGCTTTTCTAGCCTTTGAATTAAAACCAGTGTTTTCTACATTTACAAAGGAAACAGATCACAATTTTTTAAAGGTTTTAAATTACATTTTTAGTTATTGGGAGGCGTGCAAGACACAGATGTAGGGGTCAGAGGACACCTTGTGGAAGTCAGCTCTCTTTCCACCATGTAGGTTCTGCAGGATTGAACTCAGGTCATCAGGCGTGGAAACACATGTCTATACAACCATTAAGCCATCTCTCCAGCCTGTGCTTTTCTTCTCCCAGGGCAGAGGACCATTGCATCCAGCCGCATGAAGCTCCGAGTTTACTACTGTTGGTTGTACCACTCAAGCACTGGAGGGATCCCACTTCTTGGGGCGATGCTTGGGCTGGTGACAGGTGCTTCTGAGTTCTGTTAGCTCTTAGGGAACTGAGGTCTTGCCTCTTCCACAGCACTCTTCCTGGAGAACGGTGACCCATCTGGGCTGAAAGACACACCCGAGCAGCCCATGTTCAGCAGGCTTGACATATAGGAGCCATGCTCATCCATCCCAGTTGCTCCTCCCCAAGCCAGCCATGCTCCTGATCCCACATGACCAGCATGTCCTCCTAGGAACAGCAACGTTGCTCACTGCAAGTCTGAAATGTCCTATGGGTGGCTATGGTGGTGGCACTGTGGGAAAGAAGACTCGGAGACAAGGTGAGGGCATGACTCTCCCGCCACACAGCAGGCCTGTGCCAGGTCAACTCAGAGGCAGTCTGGGGTACCAGCCTGCAAGATAGAGTCATAGTAAAGACCCTCTCTTAGGTAAGGCCCAGTCTGCCCCCAACCTCTCCTCTTCTACCCCCTCATGGGGCACAGGCAAGGAGATACTTACAGGGCAGTGGGTGGCTTCAAAGCCATTCCCAGCCTACAAGGGCGGGTGACTCTCCAAAACCTCTTCCTGGAGTCCCAAGGCAGCTTGCAGGCAGTCATATCAGTGCCCTCTCTCCCCAGCTCCTCCACCTGCTAGCTGGGGCTCAGACACCTCAGGAGAACTAACAAAACCCCTTGCGTACAAGTGCATAAGCAACTGCTAGGACAGCCCCCACACAACTGCAGGGTGGAGACCCTCCTAGGACCTCTCCCTCAGTGACAACCCAGATGCTCAGCTGTGGACCTTCAGCCTCAGAGAGCCTAAGAAAGCTCCAGACAGCCCAGGAATAGAGAAGAGCCTCCCCGGCTCAGCTTGGGGCTCTAGGCTGCAGGGTCTGGTGCAGCCACAGCCTCGACTCCCCAAGGCCACTTCCCAGCCATCTCTGATACCCCAGACTCCTCCCAGCCCTCACTCTCCCTGTATTCCTTCTCCTCACTCCCTCATCCCACTCCTTTCATGTACCTCCTCCTTCCTCTCACATCCCCCTCCCCCTCCCTCTCCCCCTCCTTACCCCCTCCTCCCACTTCATACCCTCCCTCTTCCCACCTCTCCCAGAGTCTCCCTCCTCCCAATTCCTCCCCCGCACCCTCACTTCCACAGCCTCCTGGTCCTCCTACTTCCTCTCCCACCTCCTCCCTCCCACCTGCTCCCACTCTCCTTCATAGTATTCCTCTCCCACATTCTCTCAGTCCTCAACCCAAACCCTCCCTCTCCCCCCTCACCTCCCATACCCTCCCTCCTCCTCCCCCATACAATCCCTTGTGGGAAACTCTGTCTGCTGGCAGAGCCAGCCAACTTGCCTACACTTTGTACCCTAGAGGGGGAGTGTGGATCAGGAAAGGCTAGCTAAAGACATTAAAGGAAAGAGGAGACACAGGATGGAGGTCAGGAGGCCATTCAGTCCATACTGAACATGCTTAGTCTTTCTTTAACATTCTTAAGTACTCAACCAAAAGTGGGAACGACGGCAGAAGGCTTCTATTACCATGTATAAGGGACAGGCAGACTTATTTCCCTTATCCTCCAAGTATTTAGTAGCCACACTGCTTTCGAGCCTTCAGCCCAAATCCATTGTTATTTAAAGACATCTGCTACCAAGGTCAAAACATCCTGCAGCAGCCAAGCTTAGTCTCCTAGGTATAAAGACAGATTTGAACTCTCTGAACTTGAGGCAAGATGGGCCCCTTTATGGGCCTTGACAATTCCCCCTTCTCAAATTAATAAAATAATACCTGTGCTTCTGCCACAGGACAGATGACTGTCTGTCTTAGGTCATCTTCTTTCACCTTCCAGACTTACCATCATTGGAACACACATTCTGTCATGCATGAGCTGTCTTAGGTTGCCTGGAGGCAAAGAGGTCTTCCCTGTCTTTGACTACTACCAGCCTAGGGGACAGTGCACGGTTTGATGCCGTGCACGGTTTGATGTCGTGCACCTCTGAGCCAACTTTTCATGAGAGCTCACAAGCAAGGCCCCGCTGGCCTCCCTACTCCCATTTCCTGTCTCTCTGCCTCAGTCCTCCTATTCCTCTTCCAGTTCCTCCCTCCCTGAAATCTACGTTCACCCATTGGGCCCTGGACTCCTACGTCTCCCCCTCTGATCCTCCTCTACCCACTTTGTCCCAGAGTGTCTCCCTAGCCCCCTCCTCCCTCTTCCTATCATTCTTCCTCCCTCCTCCCACTTCCTCTCCCTCTTCCCCCCTCCTCCCACTTCCTCTCCCTCTTCCCCCCTCCTCCCACTTCCTCTTCGTGTTCCTTCTTCCCTTTCTCCTACAGTTTCTCCCCTGGGTCCTCTCCTTTTACATCTTTCCCTCTGCCCCCACCCCCTTGCTCCCACAGTCTTTATCTAACCCCCACTCCCATTTCCTCCACTGCCTCCCTCCTCCCACAGTCTCTCCCTCTGCCCCCTCCTCCCTCTCCCATTCCCTCTGCCTCCTTCCCTCCATCTACATTCTCTCCCTAGGGCATCCTCCTCCCACTTTCTCCACATCTCCCCCCTCCTCCCACTTCCTCTCCCTCCTCCCTCTTCCTCTCCCTCCTCCCTCTTCCTCTCCCTCCTCCCTCTTCCTCTCCCTCCTCCCTCTTCCTCTCCCTCCTCCCACTTCCTCTCCCTCCTCCACTTCCTCTCCCTCCTCCCACTTCCTCTCCCTCCTCCCACTTCCTCTCCCTCCTCCCACTTCCTCTCCCTCCTCCCACTTCCTCTCCCTCCTCCCACTTCCTCTCCCTCCTCCCACTTCCTCTCCCTTGGCCTCTGTCTTCTTACTTCCTATCCCTGGGTCCCATTTCTCCCACTTGTATCCCTTGCCCCCTCCTCCCACTTCCTCTTCCTGTTCCTCCCTCCTCCCACTTCCTCTTCCTGTTCCTCCCTCCCCATCTTCTACACCCTCTCCCTTGGGCCCTGAACTCCTAATCTCTCCCTCTGCCCCCACCAGCCCCTTCCTCCCACAGCCTCTCCCTAGCCTTCCGCCCCTCCTCACATTTCATCTCCCCGGGCCTTCCTACTGCCCTTTTTCACCCCCCCCGCCCCCTCCCCGCATCCTCTCCTTCCACCCTCCTCCTCCCGTGTCTTCTCCCTCAGGCCTCCTGCTTCCACTCTTATCCCATACCTTCCTCTCCTCCCACTTCCTTTCCTAAGCTTAATACATCTCTTTCCTCTTCCTCCTCATTTCTATTTTTCTCTTTTCTCTCCCTGTCTCCCTTCCCATCTTCCTCTTTTTTCCTCCCTCCCCGCTCTCCCAGTTTCCTCTACCTCTCCCACTCTCTTCCCCTGGCCCCACAGCTCCTCCTCTAACACACCCTCATCTTTCCTCTTCCTACCTCCCCACCTGCTTCCCACCTTTCTCTCCCCTCCCCCTCCCTATTTATGTCTGTTCTTCCTTCCCCACTCCACCTCTTCCCGGCTTCCCTTTCCATCCCCTCTCCCTCCCCTCCTCCCCTCTTTCCTTTCTCTTCTCCCACCTCCCTTCCCCTCCCCCTTCCTCCATACTCCCTCCTCAGTCTTGCTCCTCTTCCCCCTTCTCCCCTCCCCTCCTCTCCCTCTTCTTCCTAGCTCTCCCTTCCCCTCCTCCCTTTTTACTCCCCCACTGTCTCTTCTCCCCCTCCCTTTGCTCCTCCCCCTCCATCCCTCCTCTTCCCCCCTCCCTCCCTCGAGCCCCACACTGCCCTCTTTCTCCGTCCTCTCCTCTCCGTGGGTCTCCTCTTCTCTCCTTCCAGTCTTCAAACCTTCCTTTGTCCTATATTCTCCTGGCCCTGCTTGCTGCCTCAGGCAGCTCTAGGATGCAGGTCCTACATGGTGAGCTTGGGCTGGCAGTGAGGGTTGGGGACTGGATTAATCACACAGAACTCCCACCATCCTCAGTTCACCTAGCAGGCCGCTTCATTCTTAAGGTGCTCTGCCGAAGCTGCCCAGATACCAGGAACCAGCTCTAACAGAAGGGGCAGTCTGGCCCTACAACCCCAGCCCTCAGAGGCTGCCCCACTATTGAAAACAAGCAAGACTTTGTGATGCAACAAACAGGCACCTGGATCCTTGTCCCCCAGTTTCCCTGTTGCCTCATGGGGGTGGGGTCCCCCAGGGGGATGGCCAGCTGCACTGTGCCTTCCCCCTACCCCACCAGTATTCCCTCTTACCAGCTCTGTCACCAGTAATTCATCATCAGGTAAGCAGACCGGAGACAGGAAGGGGCCAGTGCAGTCTGTTTGGGCTCTGGAGACAGTAGAGGGGGAGCTCCAGGGAGGTGATAGCCCAGCCCCCTGAGGAGTCAGTTGGTTAAATAGGACCCCAAAGCAGCACTTCTTGGGTAACCCCAAGAGAGTGCTGAGAATTCCCAGCCCAGACAGTATGGGAATAGCCTTGGGTTCTCTGGATTTAGCCAAGACTCATTATGAATGAGCATGTTAGTTAGGAGTGACAGCAAGCCCTAGCAGGGGACCTACAGGGCTCTGCCCAAGCCCTCCCAGCTTCTTCTGTCCGGCCAGGGCAGAGCCCTCAGCTCCCTGGGCCCATTCATAAGGTGCAGTTTAGAGACTGGGTTCGCTTTTCCCCTTCTCTGTGCAGAGATCCCACAAGGTCCTGCTGACCCCACCGCTGTCCACTGAACCCTGACTCAATGTCAGGGGAAGACTCTTGCTGCCACCCTGAGCCCTGGGTGAGGTCCACCAGGCATGTCCTTCCACCAGGGCACCTCAGCCCAGATCATAGCTCTGGCTGGGACCTGTCTCTATCCAGGATCTTGGACACAAGCATCCATTCCATGGACAAGTTGATTCCCTAGATCACACAGAAGCAGGTAGTGTGTGAGGTAGAGGCCTCCAAAGCCCAGGGTGGTCGAGCTACACTTAGCCAAGCCTCAGATCCCTTGGCCTTGCGTGGCACCCTGCCTCTTCCTGATGCGGTGACCTCAGTTTCTCTTGAGCATAGACCTCCATGTACATGCCCCATGATCTGCAGGTCCTCACCACCACACAATCTCTCCCCACTTTAAAAAGCCCTTCAGGGCTCACAGCACAACTTCCAAGCCTTCAAGTTCATAGCCACAGCAGGCAAATGAAACTGCAGGCAGCTAGCTTCACCTTCCATGTGGCCCTCGGTCCCCATTGCCTTGTGAGACTCTACTTCTAGCAAAGGTGCCACTGGGGATAGTCTGCCTGGGGGGGGGGCGGATAACTGCTGCACCATCCCTGCTCTGCCCTGTCCCTTTGTCTCCTACTATCCTTCCTTCTCCCCCCTCCTGTGCAAGCGTCCTGTGGCTGGTGTAACCCATAGTCCATAGGCTGGGGTTTAGGACCACAGAAGAATCTCTTAGCAGGTAGGGAAGCTCAAGGCCAAAGTCCAGCAGGTCAGCTCATCCCAGTCCCAGATTACTCCTGCTGGCCTGCCATCCCTGGAACCTGAGGCTGCCCCAACCCAGACCTCACTCGCCCAGCCCTGCGTATAAACATACTGGACATCAGGCTCAGAGCTAACCAGCACAGGCTGATCTCCTTTCAAAGGAGATCTGTAAAGACCTTTTCCCCACACAGTCACATTCTCTGGTTCCTGGGGTTAAGATGTGGGCATATGTCAGCCACCAGAACAAGTACCTGCTCCCTCTGGTCCAAGGTGATGGTATCTTACATGGATGTGGGTCTGCCATAACTGTTCACTTGAATGAGCACTCTAGTCTAATGGGCAGCTGATATCACACACACACACACACACACACACACACACACACACACACACACACACAAACTCCCCTCCCCCCTTTCCCTTTCACTCACACTAACCATCCCCCCCATCACATTCTTCCCACTTTATAGTAACAGGAGAGACTACCTGCAAAGAAAGAATATTCTAGATGGCCACTAGGGCAGAAGCTGGTCAACTGGCTTACAGAATTAGGCCTTCTACAGGCTGAAGCCCTTGAAAGAGCCTCACGTGCTCACTCATCCCTTTCCCCCACCCCACCCCACTTTCTTAGCCCTTCCTCCTCAGGTTTTGACCTCCCCCCCCCCCCCCCCCGTCTGGTGCCCTGTACCACCCCATAGGGGCTTGTCCCTGCCCATCTCACCTTCCCCCAGAACACTCCCCTTCCAAACTCAGTCCTTTTGTGACCTCCATGAAGATGCTTCCTCCCAGGCTTTCCCAGCTAATAATACCTGGTTTTTGCCTTGTAAACTCCCCAACCCCCAGGCAGGGTTGGGGGCTCCTTGTGTGCCCAGTATCCTTTGACTCCCAAGAGCCTGCTGGCCAGACCATCCCTCCCTCTACCATCTGACAGACCTAAGCCAGCATCTACCCTGCTGGGCCCCTCAGGCTATTCAAAGTCCAACTCTAGCTTGTAGACCCCAGTCTAGTGCCCTCCCAGAGCTGGCCATCTGGCTTTGTTTCTCCAGGGTCAGAAAGATCCATCCCTGAGAGGGAGGGAAGGGGAGACACCCTGCCCCACCCCCTGGAACTCACATCCCAGCGTGGAGGATCACAGGAACAAACCAACAGGTAAGTGTAAAGCGTGAGGACTCTGCTGGGGGGTGGGCACCAATCATTGCAGCGTGTGGATACACCCGGGTGCCTGTGTGTGTGTGTGTACCTGTGCAAGTATATTTGGAAGCCACAGGAAGACTTGGGTGTCCTCCTTGCTCCATTTTATGTTTCACCAGGCTCCCAAGTGCTGGGTTTAAAGGCATCTGCCGCTGTGCTCGGCCTTCTCACTACACCTGAAGCTCACAGTGTTTTGAGCTGTCTCCACCCCATGACAGCTGGATGTTGGGCATGCACAGCCATGCCTGGCTTCTTTATGGACTCAGGTTCAGGTCCTCTGATTCCTGGCATAGCAAGTGTGCTTACCTGCTGAGCCATCTCTCCAGCCCCAGAAAGCTCTATTTGTGTACAGGGTGCTGTGGTCTCATGAGGAGACAGTGTTTGAACAGAAGCCTGCAAACAGGGTGTAAGGAGGTGAACCGTCAGCATTGGACGCCTAGGGAACACCTGCACTAAGCCTCTGAGGCAGGACTGTCGGGGTGGAACAAAACCATTCAACCCCCAAAGGGCTTTTCAGGAGGAGCTAGTGAGATTTGCCGTGCATCAGGGTGAGCATAGCATCTGTGAATTCAGAGAATGAATAGAGTCTGTGGGTCAGGGTGTGACTAGACTCTTCAGAGTCCAGGTGAACATAGTCTGCAGAGTCAGCATGAGCATGGAGTCCAAAGGTCAGGGTGTAGGTAGAATCCTTGGAGTCTAGGCATACATGGAGTTGTTTGAGCCATGGAGACAGGAGAAGCTTTTGCTGGAGGAAACCCAGCGGAGGTGGGAGCCACTCTGGCATAGAGGTGGCTCTAGCTTCCTCACACCTTGAGCAGTCTGAGCACAAGAAAAGGGGCTGCTGGGCCTCCTGGGGGTTCACCTTCTACTCTTAGTTTCTCTCCTCCCTCTCCCTGTCATCATTGCCTGCCCTGAGTGCCAGCCACTGCAAGCACCCAGCCAGACCCTGCCATAGGCAGCCCTGGTAGTAGCTGGGTGGATCAGCAAGGAAACACTGTATCCCTGAGCTCCAGGGCGGCCCCAGTACCCTCAGAGCCCAGCAAGGTTTGTCATCCCCAGCCACCCACCTTTGGCTCAGTGCTATCCAGAGTAGGACATGGCCATCCTACAGTACACTCAGCTGTGGGAATGCCAGGCCGAAGCCCTTAGGTCCAGATAGTAGACAACAAGCTCTAGAAACCCAGCTCATCACTGAAGGTTTGCGTAGGACCCAGGGAGGCAGGGCCTTAGCCAGGGATGCCTTCCAAAGCTGGGATGTGCAGGCGGGGGTGGGGGGGTGTAATTGGCCTAGAACTCAACCTAGCTCTCTTCCCTGTTGATGATAAAGATGACAATATGGCTGCTGACACCTTTGCCCAGGTATGGTTCCATGCTTCTCAGCTCCTCCCTGGGCATTCATTCAGAAACTGAGGCTCAGAGTGACTGGGCCACTTCTCCAGGACAGACAGGCCCAGGTCCCTACCTACCGAGCTTAGTAGAAAAAGTCTCCACTGCCACTTCCTGAGCCAACTCCAGTTCACTCTGAGGCCCTGCTGTGGTGCTCATACTCGCCCCTTTCACCCCAGGCCCTTCCCTGGAAGGAACTTCACTGTTCTTCAGGCCACAGGGAAAACAGCCTTCCTCCCTTCTCATCCTCCCTAGACTAGAGCCTATCTTGTTCATCTGATAACTATATTCAGAGGCCCGTACGAAGTGTTGCCTTTGTGGACTGACCAAGGCACCTCAGGGAACAGTTCAGCAAGGCCAGCTGTGGTCACAAATCCTACCACTATTGCCTGCATCTACCCACATGTCACCCTGGCCCTTCTCCCCCCCTCCCCCACGCGCCCTGCTCATAAATATTCAGGAGTTCACTGAAACATGCCTTAAGATGGCTTGTTTCCCTGTGTAGCCTTGGAGATCATTCATCGTAGTTAAATGAAATAATGCTTGCTGTTCCCCCACCCTACCCATACCACCTCACGAACCTCAGCCCTTCCCACTCTTATCCTGACCCTCCCACCCTCCCACCCTCAGCAAAAAGACTGAAACCCAGGCTGGCTTCAAAAACAAGCCATGAGGGCTGGCAAACCCATGCGGCCAGGAATGCCTGCTGTCAGGCAGGGAAAATGGCACAGGGGCTTTCCAGCAAAGAAGCCAGCCTGTTGCAATGATCAAATATTCGTGTTTAAATTGTGTGTCACTCTTTGGCCAGGTGACAAGTGAAAATAAAGTCAATTCTGATACACGAGACAGGAGAACCTCCACAAGATCTAGGTTAGCTCAGGCTGCATACACAGCCAGTGTTGGGCCATGTAATAAGACCTAGAGAAAAAAAGGTATGGAAAACGAACGAGCCTTGGCACTCCATCCTGTGTGACCCATGGTGTCACTGACCCCTTGGTATCCCCCCATCCTCTCTCCTGTAATCTGTCTTCTGCCTTTGTACAGTGGGCCTTTGTACAGTGGGCATACTTTCCCCACCAATGTTCACGTGCAACCTTGGGCACCCTTCCCACCTGCCTTAGGGATTCTCCAACGGGAGAACATGCCAGAACTCCTTTAATGAGTCTCGTGATTGACACTTGGCTTATGGCCCACACTGGGCCTCCACACAGTGCATAGCTTCTCACAACCGTCACCCAAAGTCCATCTGTGTGTCAAATGCCTAACCAGGAACATAGGCCATGACTGGCTGTCTCTGAGCCCCATGGCTAACTGGTGACCTGCTAGAGGACCTCTGACTGTCATTCCTACCAGCCATACTGGTGGCTGATGTCACCTTGATCAGCAGCTTCCTGTCCTCGAATTGACCCTGTTCTGTGGTTTCCTGTTGTTTGGTCTCAGAGACATGTATTTTAAAAATTCTGAAATCTCACAGGGGAGGCTGACCTGTGGAGGAAGTGGCTGCAGTTAGATGGGCTGGGTGGGCGTCCATCCATCGGCTCCCTAGCATGCTCCCTCAAAGGAACCCAATGGGGCACAGAAGCACTGACATACCAAAACACAGCAGCAGCCTTGTGTTGTAGAGCAAATGCCATGAGCTCTGAGGACAGCCGGACAGAGCAAACAGAAGCACAGCTCTGAGCCTGGCCAGTGGGACCCTTGACAGGGGCCTAAGTGAGGAAGCTCTGCCCTGGCCCAAGGGAGTGCCAGCCTGTCCAGGGCCAGCATCCAGGGCCTGCTAAGTTTCTGGGAATCTTTGTGACTTGGCTGTTAAGTACACCTGCTACTAATGAGTCAATGGTACAAACTAGAAGTCAACAGGTTCATAAAGGTGAGACAGGCTGGCTGCTCCCACCCACTTTGCCCCTGCCTGAGGCCTCCAGGTCTCTCGTGGCTGTATGTCTTGGAGGTAGCAGTGTCCAGACAGTCATGGAATCTCTGTACCGCTCTACCCTTCAGAAGCCCCAAGTGTCACTCTGGTCACATGAACTCAGCGGCTGTTACACCACAGGAAGCAGCGCACAGCACAGCTTTCTACACCACCCCAAAAGCTGCTTCTTGCTTTTCTAACTTTTTTAATTGACACTTGTTTATTGTTGGGGCACGCCAGCACATGTTTGGAGGTCAGAGGGCAACTCGCAGGAGTTTGTTCTCTCCTTCCACAATGTGGGTCTCAGTGATCAAACTCAGGTCATCAGGCTTGGCCACAGGTACCTTTGCCACCTGAGCCATCTTGCTGGCCCTGAAAAGCAGATTATTAAACACATGCCAGCACCCAACTCCTGCCCTGGCCACTCTCTTCTTATTCTTCAACCTCTTGCCATGGCTGCCTTGATCAAATGCAACCAGAAAGCAAGCTTGTGTAGCACTTGGGCATGGGTTCCCCAGGGTTCAGTCTCCCAGGACTCAGAGAGAGCCATGAAGGAGTTAGTGTGTCAGAGAAGCTGTAGGTATACGTCTGGCAAGCAGCTTCTGCCCTTGGGAGGAAGGATGCAATGGCCCAGGTCGCACCTCCTTGCCAGGCAGCAGAATATCAGTGCTGACCTGGGGACTAGCACGGGCCTTCATGGAGATTATGGTGCTCTGCTTATGTGACAGACACTATCAACCCACGTGCTGCCTGCCTTTAAAAATAATGATGTTCTACTTGAAGAAGCGGACCTTCCATTTTGGATTCTTGGTCCCTTCCTGAGTGGGTGTTAGGTGACTGGGGGCTGTGGGAAGCCACTGTGGCCTTCAGCTTAGGGCTTGGGATTCAGTGAGTGTGGGGCTGGTTTGCATCTCTTATGTGCTGCTCATGAAAAGGGGAACCCAGGCTAGGAGGGCGTGGTCAGTGCCACAGGTGTGGTTGGGTGGATCTCACTACAGTAACCTACCTGCTCCAGACAGACAGAGGCACTGTGACATTGTACCACCCAGCACAGAGGGGTGGCCAAGAGTGTGCTCCCATGGAATGTGGTGATCCCGTGGACCACAGTGAGTGCTGACAACAAATCCAAGTGAAATGGCAAATGGCCACAGGGTGATCTTCTGTGAGTGGCCCTGACTGACTCAGTATTTCAAGGGTATTCTGAGGCCTGGAATGTCAAGGGAGCCTTGCTGAGAACAGGAAGTTGGGGGCCTTGAGGCCCATCTGTCTGCAGAAACCAGGAACTTACAGGCAAAGCCTTGGTGAGGAAGGAAACAAGAAGTCAGAGGGTGGGAGCAAAAACAGCCAGGCACAATCTAAGGAAGAGCCAGATATTGGGCAGAGCAGGCCAGAGCCAAAGGATCAGCCCCTCAAAGCACACACAGTGTGGGATTCGAGAAAGGAGACACACACCAAGGGAGTGTTCCGGTCCCTGTGGCCCCGTTTACTCCAGCACCGACAAGAGGCCCTGACAAATGGGATAAACAGCAGGAAGAGGTCAAAACACAAAGTGAGGGCCTGATGGAAGTCCTCCGAGGGGGTCACATAGATATCTATGCGTGCTTTGCCCCATGGAGCTCATGGCTCACCTCCTTGACCCCCTAATTCCCACAAGACCCCAGAC